AAAACACCTCAACAGTGGCAGAATCACAGTTACATACTGAACATATTTATAAACTATGACTTTAGATTCTCAGAGCATCATCTACTGCATCTCACTGCTTGGTAGCCATGCTCATGACCAATATTAGCCACATCTGCAAACAGGAGGAACTCTGTACATAGAACAAGAACTCTGTACTGAAGGAATCATGAGGAGTGGTTTAATTACTCAGTTATAAATTCTGTGAAATATAATCCTACACTGCTAGGCAAGATGTGTCTGTTTATGCAATAATGGTATGACTGTTTTCTGAGTAACCAACTGCTCCCTGGTTGTATTTGAGGCCTTTCCAAAATAGGGATCTATGCACAATCCTGTGAATCAGTACAAGAATCCATGATGGAGGAGGTCTTGATCCCTTGATGTGAACCAACTACTCTTTCTTATCTCCTTTGACATAGTATCAAAACACTTTCAAATATTGATGTTTACCAACTCAGACAAATGCTACTCCCAGTCTTAATCTGAGAAGTAGCTCTAAGTTATTTAGAATAAAGAATAATGTATGGCTCGGTCCTAAACAAGGCATTTTACTACCCCCAAAAGGCCCAGGGAATGTCACAAAGAGGAGACTGAAATAAGAACAGAAGATAGAGAGAAGGGCTGTGCTTACATGACATCCTGTAAGCCTGAAAAGGAGATGTAAGTCATAAACTCTTGGCATTTGTGTCTACTGGCACTGTACCTCCACAAGTTTGGCCCACTGAACAGTCAGCTTTGGATAGAGAAGGGGCTTACATGGCCCTGCCACTTGCCGCTGAACTATTGCAGACATTAGATTCTGAAGGAAATTATTGTATCTAGTTGTCTATCTTCTTGGAGCCAACTAGGCTGACATGACTAGTTTCAAACAAGTGGTCACACAGATTATCATAGTTTAACTCTGAAGCCTAAAATAAAACAAAAAGTCATGAATATGAAAAAGAAGTCTGTGAGGAAGAAGAGAGACTGGCAAAGATGAGAGAGAAGAAATAGAGGGTTGGAAAGGACCATAACAAGAATGATCATCTATTCATGACCTTCTCTGCTGTGGAATAATTCTTTTGTACACTGTAAAGATTTGTCACTCAAATTGGTTTACTAAAAATCTGAATGGCTGGTAGCCAGGCTGGAAGTATTAGTGGGACAACCAAACTAAGGATGCTGAGATAAAGAAGGACAGAGTCAGGGGAGATGCCAACAGACACCAAGGAAGCTGGACATGTACAAAATGAGGTAGCAAGCAATGAGCCATGTGGTAAAACTTAAATAAGAAATATGGGTTGATTTAAGTTGTAAGAGCTAGTTAGTAATAAGTCTGAGCTATTGGTCATGCATTTATAATTAATATAAGCCTCACTGTGTTTATTTGGGTGCTGCTGGTAGGACAGAAACTTCTAAGACTTCTCAAAGAACTAAATTTATTAACAAAATATTTCTATGATATTGTTTCAGATTTTCAACTGCAATAAGACTCCATCTTGTTCCTTCACATTCTCCTTTACTCCTTCCTTCCTTCCTTCCTTCCTTCCCTCCTTTTGCAATTCTATTATTTGGTCCTTCCCTTCCTCCATTATTCATTTGTTCAGTCTATATTTCATGACTATTCACTCTAATGTGTACATAGAAATAGGCTCATGTATTACACAATATATAAAACATCTTCCTGTACGCATAGTCATTTCATGCTCATGAAGTATGGCTATCTCTCCTTCTGTCATAGCAAGAGGTGCTATTACCTTCATGAATCTCAATCATGATTTCCTTATTGTATCTTAGATGGACCTTCCTGGTCAGAGTGGTCATTAATCATTACTGATCATTATTGAGAGTTTCAGTTTTTCTGCCCCTGTTCCATGACAGTAGCATAGATGAGGCCAGAGTTGTATCCCTGCTGCATTCAGCATGCTCAGAATTTTGTCTTGATTTCAGTACATAATGTGGCTTAGGATATGTGGTTAGAGTGTTGAGACTACTGAATATTCTCTTGTCATTAGAAGACTTTTGTCAAAGTATAGGGATTCCAGGATAAGGAAACTGTAATTATTGTCTTGATGATAATGCAATACCATGGTGGGGCTGGCAGGAAGTGAACTGTTCTCTGCTACTGAGATTCTTCATAGACAAGGGTGCCTTCTATGTCTAAAAATGATCAATGGTTGACTTCCACCACATGTGGTCTCATTATATAAATTTGCCATCACCTTGTCTTCATCTCTAGATTCATTACCTGTGTGTCTCTCCCTATACTGCAGGCCTGAGTATGCTCAGTGTCATTATCTCTGAGCACTGCCTGTCCTTCTTTTATGCCCTCTTGGATTACCAGTTCTATCTAAAACACTGGTCAGGTAGCATTTACTCTGCTCTGCATTATAGCTCTACTTTTCAGTATTATATAAGAGCCTGATATGGCTGGTTACTTAAAACACTTGGCTATGAATTGCATCTGTCTAATTATTTCATCACAATCCTGTGGCTGATTATTTTACTAGTTCTTGGGTTTTGGCAGCCTCTGCTGATTAGGACCATTGATGTTTCAGGTAGAAGTACATGACCAGGCTTTATGTGACCCACATGCTTAGGATGCAGCTCTTTTTCATCTGCAGAGGGCTCTCATGCATCTGTGGTGCCACAGTCTTCTAGGTTGAGTCTGATTTGGTCAAATGCTTTGGTTGTTCTTCATGTCCATTTTATTTTCTGTCAACAGATGTGCCAACAGCATCAGTTATTTCTGTGTTGGCTCTTAACTCTATGTCATCACCTCATCAGTGACAGACCTAGTTGGTTCTCCAGAGGCCTTTGTAGGACACTCCTATAGAGTGTGAATGTGGACATGGTCTTCTTAAGGAACCCTGAAGAGGCATGGAAGCAGTGGAGTGGTGATAAAGTCTCTGCTTTTGGTAGACAGATATGCTTTGAGAGACAATACCCTTATCAATTTGGAGGATTTTCTTACTTTTTCTCCTCCTTCCTCTCTGATCTAATATAAGAGATGAGATAAAACATATGAGCATTAAAGAAGACAGGAATTGTTGATTAAATGTGACTCCAGTGTTCCTAGAATCATCTTATTATGGCTTCACCTCAATCATGTGTGAGCATCACCAACTCTTGGATCTTCCACTGTCCCTACTATTGAACAATTTCCTCTCCTGGAGAATCCTAAAAGCAGTGCAGAAATGCCAGTTTCCTTAGGGCACAGCACTTAATAGACACTGAACAACTGTCCTACTCTAATGAGCTTCTTTTAATTCATTCCAGTTTCTGTCTCATTAAAAGTAAGGATTTCATTGTGTATGTCTCCACAAAGGGTAGTCTTCTTGGCTGTAGGCAGCCCTTGCAGCACACCTCCAGCTAATAAATGTTACTTGAGTAAGTGAAGCAAGTGAATTAAAGAGCACTGATGCATTTTTTTCATGGCTGAAATTTGATAGATATATGCAGAGACCTGTCAATTAATTCAGCACCAAAAATCTAATAAGCCATCTCCTATAATTCTTGTCAAGTTACCTCAGGAATTCTTCACTTTCACATTTGGAGGAGATTTTCCTTAAGTGTCATTACTTCCATATTTGGAAGTAATGATAAAATTTTACATAAGTCTCACCAATTCACAGTTTTATATCATATATAACACATACTCATGTTTTCTTTCATATCCCTTTAACAAAATCAGGAAAACGTGATACCACAACCAAAGGCTTAAAGTTCACATAGTTCTGACAGGGCAAAGATCTTGCAAGCAGTGACTACTTAGGAAGCAAATCTACTAAAATGTCACATGGGTATAGAAATAATTTAAAGTATTTTAGACATAGTAAATGTAGTCCTTGAATTTCAGTTTAACATTAGTATGCATTGATTTGTTGAATGAGATTTTAACCTGTTTACCCTATGAGATGTAAAGCTGAAGGAGGAGATAATGAAATTCTCCATTAATTCATATCCTACTGTTTCCTGGTTATCAAGTAAGACAACCAACCAGCCAAACAACCTAACACACTCACATGCAAACTAAGTGAATAATCTTTTTTGCTTAAAAAATCTTTCATATTAAAAAGATGGAGGAGCTGAAGTGGATTTCCTCCTTTATGAAAATATTCTTAGATATTGCCAGAGACTGCTTAGGTGGGTAAAGCATTTTCCCTGAAATTGTGATGACCTGAGCTCAAATCACTATTACCCATATTGTCCTGCTTGTAGTCCCAGCACCTGGGAGTCCCTGGGAAAAGATGGATACCTAGATTAGCTTAGTAGCTAGGCTCTTGTTTCAACTGAAACTAACAGGGTAGGGGGGTCCCAGGGGTTGGCATAACCAGAGAATGATAGATAGGAACCAGGCCCACTGCCCAGAACAGCTTCGTGAAGAGAATGACTCAAAGGGGTGATGTTCATATGCCAGCAGATCCAAGCACAGGAAACCACAGGTCTCTCTGCCATCTAGATTACCCTTCCTCAAGCACCAGGCTCACAGCATTCTCCGGGCGACACAGTAAGCTGTTCATGTGACAGCTTACTCAGGGGACCCTTCAGTTTGTCACAGACCAGCTTACCATTTCCCATAAGAAAATGGAGGAAAGGTAAGAGGCTTTTGGAAACCCTTTCCCCCAAATTTTTATCTGTTTTTCTTCATCTCTGACC